TATTGTTAACTTGTGATCACGTGCAATTGTTTTTTACAACATTAAAAAAATCGAAGGTTCGTTTCTTGTAACATTGAGTCATGTCCTGTATTCCCATTTCTAGTAAAAATTAAAAATATTGTATAAAGTTAAAATTTTTTAACTGTTCCACTTAACATCAATTAAAAGTATACTAGCAATCGTGTTGAACTTATAATACGTACTGTCCGTAGTATAATATTGTCAGATACATTAAAAGGGTGACTTGATTGATCTGATTAATAGATAAGGAGAAATGCCGTTATCAATACATATTAGAGATATTTATTACACAAGCTGTGCTATAATTACATATGTTCTATCGAAACTATTCTTTCACTGGAGCTCCAAAACTGCATCGTCGTCGATATTCGCGCTGATGTTTAATTCAAGCTCTAAATATGGAGTATACGATATGTTACATCTTTCAAAGCATACACAACATAAGTCACGCCGAGTCCACACAGCAAGAAAAACAATTACACCGTACCAACTGCTTCGCGAAAGTTAGCCCACCCAGGCGCCGGCATTTCTTCACGCTCTCGCGTTGCTGCGTAAACAATAATCCGCGAGATTTAGCACCCGCCGCACGACCTTTCCCAATAAACGTGGGGCGGTAGCAATAAACGCGGAGGGATGGCGCGCGCAGTGTGACCGCTGCCCAATCCCCACTCTGTCCCCTCTCAATCCCTGCCGCGCCCCTCTCAATCCTCGCCGCGCCCCTCTCAATCCCCGCCGCGCCCCGCTCTCCAATCCCGCGCGCGCCTTCTCAATCCCCCACTCTGTCCCTTCTCAATCCCAGCCACCGCCCACTCGTCCAGCCACGCCCCACTCGATCAGCCACGACCACTCGATCCCGCCCGCCCACTCCGATCCCCGCCACGCCCACTCGATCCAGCCACGCCCACTCGATCCCAGCCACGCCCACTCGATCCCAGCCACGCCCACTCGATCCCAGCCACGCCCACTCAATCCCAGCCACGCCCACTCAATCCCAGCCACGCCCACTCGATCCCAGCCACGCCCACTCAATCCCAGCCTCGCCCTTCTCAATCTCAGCCACGCCCACTCAATCCCAGCCACGCCCACTCAATTCCAGTCACGCCCACTCGATCCCAGTCACGCCCCTCTCACACCCCGCCACGCCCGTCTCAATCTCCGCCACGCCCTCTCAATCCCCGTCACTCCTCTCTTAATCCCCGCCACGTCCCTCTCAATCCCCGTCACTCCCCTCTTAATCCTCGCCACTCCCCTCTCAATCCCCTCTGTCCTCTCTCAATCCCCGCCACGCCCCTCTCAATCCCCACTCAATCCCTTCTAAATCCCCGACACGTCCACTCAATCCCCGCAATCAAATCAATTGAAGAAATGATAATTTTTGTTCCAGTGATTTTTTTATTTTCCAACTCATGTAGTTAATTCTCTTCTGTCGATTGAAATATTAATGATTTACTTTCCGGCTCCGCGTATACGCTGGCCATTAGACCAAGAGCTTCCGAAAGAAGAAGAGAAAAAAAATGCAATTGAAACTTTTAACAGGAAGCAAGAATAAAAGGACCAGTCTTAATGGGAAATAAATGTTACAACATCATGAAAACACGACATCCACAAGTTAACGGATCTCTCTTTGAACTCTGTCGATCTAGTTTCCAATATTGGCCAAAAATGCTCGTAGACTGTTCCCACTGACGACGCATTGTGATTCCTTCTTTTTATGGTGATTCTAGTAGTGATGCGACATTGATAACAAAGCATCGATGTTCAAAATACATCGACTAAAACCCCATCGATGCTTTTCAACATCAATGTTTTTAAACTGGATTAGTAACCTTTATCATTAAATTCCTGTGCATTAGAATTTAATTTGACAGTGTTCGTGTTTATCAATTCGCCGAATAAGGGTACCAAAAGAAGGGGTAGACCCTACGCCCACAGCCTATTTGTTGACCACATCTCAATGTGCGACATGAAGACGAAGAAAGAGGAAATAAAAGAGCATGGAGGTCATCTCGGGCGAGAGAATTTGGTCGATAATGGTATTGCAAACAGCGTTTCTTTGATTCGAAAACATGAATAACAGTAATACTAGCAGTTATTATTTCATATTTTATCTTTTACAGTATTGTGATAACGTAGATTTTTCATTCTGAAACAACACATCGGAAAAGAAAAAAAATCGGTCTCACAGCATCGATTTTAAAAAAGCATCGGTATTAATACATCGATGTTTCTGCCAAAAACATCGACATCGATGTCGCATCTTTAATTCATGGTACAATGCAACAACCGAGAAAACGGAAAATATATATTTAAAAAAAAAAAAAGACAGTTGCACACTTGGGTTTATCATCTTCGGCCCACTGTGAGCCGCGGACGACGGCGGGGGTGTTGCGGTGCGGAGCGGAGTAGAGACGGGCGGGGTTTTTTAGAGCTGCTGCTGCCGCCGCCGCCGCCACTGCCCGCGGCGCAGATGGCGAGGAATGCGCCGCCGCCGCCGCGTTATGTAAGCGCCCAGCGCTGGCGCCTGCCCCTGCGTCCGCGCCGCGCCGCTCCGCTCCGCTCCGCGCCGCGCCGCCCGCTGGACGTTCTGCCGCGCCGGCCCGCTCCGCCCCGGCTCGCGCGCTCCACTGTGGGCCACGAGGCCCGTCTCCGCGTCAACAGGCACGGCCAAAGATTGTTGCAAAGTTCGAGTGGGTAGTTGACTTCGGGGTGGGGGAGTGATCCTACCCCCCTCCCACCGAAATTGTATATGAAAGGAAATTTACAAAACTGATTTTTTTCTTCAAATTGTCATGTTTAAAATTAGATTGTCGTCAAATTGTAGTCACATTTATTGTATGTAACTTCAGCCGTTCGTTTTGCAATGCAAAAGCAGCGCTGCGCTTTGCATATTTTTATATAAACTCATTTTACAATTTTTGAAAATCGATTTTGTTGGTCATGTCGCTGAAAACATGTAAAATAGCAATGTTGTTTAGCCGATTTTGTATCATATTTAGTCGTTTACGTTTTGAGTCGACGCAATACCGAGTTTTTTTGGCATGCACAGAAGGTCAGAAGCCGAGTGTGGACCCAGAGAGCAAACTGCCTATGTTCACCGTGGGGTTTGTGATGTTGTGGGAGGCTAATTCAAGTGTGAAATGAAGATAGTATCTGACCGTGAAAATGTGAAATGAAGACAGTACCGTGGATAAATTCTTAGAATACTTCTGGAAAAGTTTTCTTTTCTAATGTTTTGGTTTGATTATTTCAAAATGTGAAAGTCATAGATTAGTCTCCAAGATTTGGAGGTCCCTGCCGGGAAAAAAATAATACTTTTTCAGCCGGAGATATCAGATATCCATGAAGGGGGAGACGATCTGTGTTGATTTGGAGATAGGGGTTTGGGAATTTTCTGCTCCTTAGCGTGGATCAAATGTTGCTGTGGGGTTTCATGAGGTAATTCACACTGCCTCTCTCCAGTGTCTGATTGTGTTTCGACTGTGTCTCATTATTTCGCTGACCATCCTTCTGCGTCCAGCATAATTCTTCATTGTCGTTTGAATAGTAACTCCAGAATACACGATTTCAGAATTCGATCGTTTAACGATCTCCACGTCAAACGGAAAATGTTACTAGTGCTCAAATGTCGTGTGTGCACTCCTTTTGTAACCAAAAATAGTATGGTTTCATCGATATTTTTACGTAATGTTCCAAAATGTGCGCCCGATGTTTTAAGAACTGAAACAGTCTTTGAAAATGCTATTTTCCTCACACTCGAATAAATAATTTTCGTCATTTTTTTTCTTATCTAATTGTTAGACGGCTAGAGTGAATTGATGTCTTTTCCGGGCCCTCCGTGATCGGGCCGCTGCCGTGTGGTTCCCGGAGTCCGTCTCCGTCTCGGCGGGTACACAGTGGGCGCTACCGTGAACCTGCTGCATTCGAATTCGAAACGTGGCGATCCTCTTATCCCCTCCCCGCATGGGATTGGCGATGGAGGGGGTTTCGTGAAGAGGTTTGATGCGATAACCTCGTTTCCCCCATCCACAATCTCTTCTCGATTCATTTCTGTCCTTATTTAATCGTACTATCACTTATCTTCTTATGAACATCGTATACCTCATTGGGGTGTGTAAGATAACTACACGGTGCCCGATAGAATGTTTGGGTTTCGGAACCTGTCATTCGCCCATCTCCATCCTTATTATTCCAAACGTAAATGGACAGCTCGTCCACGTAAGGCACTTCTTTTTTATGACGCACATCTTGTGCGTATCTTATATCCTGTCAAATTTACAAATTTCTCCTTTCCTAGCTCCTCTTACTGGACTACTGAGTGTATTCAATACATCGTAATTCAAGTTCTAAGTTACATTGCAACATTTGAATCAGAAAAGTTTCTAAAGCTGCTTTTTGTGGTTGAAGTTTTGGAAGTTACCATGTTTATCGTCTAAAGGCTGTCAGTATGTAATTTTCAGTACCGTCGAAATTTTCCACCACAACATATTTTTGGGACCATTTTTTGGGTGTCTGCCAGACAGTCGTGCATTCAGATTGTTAATTTCATATACACGACGAGCGAACTAGCACTTACAAGATACTTTAACTTGCCTTTTCGTACGTGTGCATGTTTCGTCATGGATTGTAACGACGTTTTGCGTTACTGAGGCAAATAGAAACGCCACGTGTTGTGCGTCTTAACAAGAAAAACATACCCTCTACGTAGGGAAAGCAACCGGATAAACATTGCTACGTGAGTGAAAACCTGTAGATACATTTGTCTATTTCCAATGTAGTTTTTTAGCTCGTTTCAGTTTGCTCTAGGTTTATCGCGATCGATAATAGGTGCGCATAGAGAAAGAACAGTTCCGGCGTTTCACTTACGCGCAGGCGTTTCCAAATGTCGAGGGTGCATGTGCCTTTCCCCCGCTGGCGCTGGTGCAGTGCTGGTGGTGTGTGCAGTGCTGTGCTAACGGCGCGCTGTGCGCTGTGTGCCGCAGGTGCTGCAGGGCGACCGGCGGCTGGGGCTGCGCCATGGGCTGTCCCCGGACGACCCCATGGACACCATCTTCGTGAAGAGCGTGCGCGAGCACAGCCCTGCTTACGACGCCGGCCTCGCGACAGGTAACGCAGCAGTCGCACGGCGAAAGGCTGGCTACGCAGACCTTTTTTTTTTTATTACAAACGTTATTGTTTTACTGAAGCAGTTTTGCTGAGGAATTGTGGAGATTTGTCAATAACCTCTCGAGATTTTCAGGGCACATTAAAATGAGTAAAGTAATGTTCACGGTAAGTTCAAGAGAATCTGATCTTACATCAATCAATTTGTAATGTGTTTGTATCTCTATGAATGAAGTTGCATTATTTCCTTGATGAAGTAGACAAATTCCACTGTGTATGAATAGGTCATGGCAGTAATTTTTTTCTATTACTGTAATTTTATCTGATATCTCCTGTAACATTCAATGTATTTCGTTATTAACAGAGAAGTTAGGTTACGAAAACGTGGTACTAGCGATGTTATTGTAAATACCGCAAAAGATTTGATAGTTTACAACTTGGCAACTTGTCACGTACGGCCGCTAATAATGTGCAGCGCCTGGGGAAGACAAACTATAGGACGTATGCTGTCAGGTGATTACGAAAGTATGAAAATATGTGGACCCACATTGGCTCTCTCGTAGACGAGGAAGTAAGGTATTCAGCTGGAATTCAGGAATTAAGAAAAACCCGGGAATTCATGGTTTTCTGCAGACATTAAGACACCTGCATATTCATTATGACGCGTAACATATTCTCTCGCGACTCTTGCATGTTTGCGAGAAGATGTTTGTTCCTGCATCTAATAATTTTAGCTTTGATTTTACAAATATCCGCTTCAGTCGTAAATAATAACTCCAACAGACCAATTTTAGTGTAGTCTTTCAAATCCTTTGCATTTCGTATTTCGCGCCATTCTGGACTCAGCGGCGCTGCCTAAATGAGGAAATAGAGCACCCATGCTTCAAGGTGAGTTCAGTCTCGTATGCGTAACTTCGTGAGGACATGGGGTATACTTCCACCCCCACCCCCCATTATTTCAGGATTCATCGAAGTCAGTATTGAAAAATGTATCAATATAAAATTTAAAAAAAACGCGTTTTAAAACTGTATCACTCCCAAATAATTACAGATACAAGGAAATGTGTGAAGTATAATTGGTCAGTGAAGAATAATTGGAAGGCGGGCCTTTTTTATACCTTTAAATAATCTCCCAGTAGTTCTCGTAAGTACCACATCAGTTGCCGCGTCGTGAAAGCGAGAGCAGCCGTGCCGTTAAGAAGTTAGCTTCCTACAGGCAGCGTTTCGAATCATGGCTGTCGACAGTTTAGCTCAAGTGATTGTCTCCCACAGGTGCTTTTCACATTTCCAAATGGTAACATTTCGACCTTTCGTAGTCATCAGACGCCTGGGAGTGTCTGATGAGTGACGGCTGGCCTTTCAAAATATTCTGTGGTGTGTCTACTCATATACTGAGTGTGGTGGGACGGGGAAGGGGGCAGACGCATTCTTCCAGAATATCCTATAGTAATAATAGTAATGCAATTCGAACTTTGAAACAGAATGTTTCCCTTCATACTAATAATATTGCATTGAATGGAATTTGCCCCCTCCCTCCCGAACCTTCGACTCCAAGTTACACCCGTGATCTCCCTCAATTGGCCATCGTTTGCACCCCTGTCACCCGAGGCGTATGTTGTGGAAATGCCCCGCCCACCTCTGATAGCGCCACGGCGGCGGCGGCGGCGGTGTGCGCAGGCGACCGCATCATCGGCGTGAACGGGCGCAGCGTGTTCGGCCACTCGTACCAGCGCGTGGTGCAGTGGATCCAGCAGAGCGGCGCCTTCCTGCAGCTGCTCGTCGTGCCCAAGGAGGATGACATCCTGCAGCTCGTGAGTATACACACACACACACACACACACACAGAGGCGGATCCAAAAATCGTTCTCGTTTACCTTCGTCTATTTGACAAAATTTATTTTAAATATTTATGTTCGAGTTATGTTATTATTTAAACAATATTGTAGAGTATCATACATTCAATACATAAATAACATAGAACACAATAACAAATATGGTGATTATTTAACAAAAGTTTACGATGCCCTCCTCCGAATAAAAATGATCGGCTTGGTCAGGCCCTGCACCCACCCTCACCCGCAGCTGTGCGGCGTGGGTCGTGATTCTGACTATGCAGTGCCGAGGAGCAGAAGTCCGTTTCGACGGAGTTGTTTTGAGTGGGAAATATCCGGTGTCAATCGTGTTAATCGAAATACAAACGTCGGAATTATCTGTTGCGAGAATGGAGAGTCGGGTCTTGAACACTACTTAGCGTACTACCTAGCTTCTTTTTAGAAAAGAATTCAAATTTTTAATTTATTGATTTAATTTCACTCGAGATTACCACAACACCGGTGAATTTTTTTTTGCGGGAATTATTCACGTATAATGACATGTTTGGGTTCCTGCTCTGAAAGTAATGATCCTCATGATTTCCGATCATTTAATTTGCCTATTATTTTTAGTACTTACAAGAATATAATGTTTAAGTGGAAAGAGAAGCATTCATGAAAAGAAATGCCGTAGGACATCTCTTCTTTCACAAAGCTATTCCTGAAATAAGAGACATTATACTTTTTGGTATTATACCTGTATTGATTGTGAAAGATGATCTGATAGATATTCTGCTAAATTCTTCAGTTCTTATTACCATGAAACAAAAAATATCGTATTTAAAAACCGAGATAATTTAATTTTTTCTCTGTTTTGAACATCAAAATGGCATAAATAATGAAAAATACCTGTACATTATAGTTATCAAATATTAGTCTAGGAGCTTTTCTGTGCCAAGGTCATTAGTTGTTGGTGTTGCAGATCCAGGATGTTACAATGTCCTTAGCGTCTCGATGTATTGGCATTCAACCCTTTTTTGTTCATTTCAATGTAAAATAAAATAAGCCGTTCTATAATTCAAAATTATTTGCAAATGTATTCCATAAACCACGCCATTATTAGTTTATTGATAATTTTAATTAATTTCGGGTCAACTAGAAAATACGTCTTCCACGCCTGTTTTCTATCTGAAAATTTCGGTGACTCAATTAAATGTAGCCACATTGCCAAAGTTACCGAACCCGAAGTTAACCTCATATTTATTTTCCCTGCCACGTCACACATGGGTACATGGTAACTGGTAAACAGTCGATATTGTCCAGTCTGAAGTAGTTGTAATTTCAACAAGATTGGAATTTTTCCAAAACCCACTCTGTATTTTTTTTAATAAATGGAACATAATGATTAAACAGTATAGTATTAATCTGTTCCTCCGGGAACTTGAATTTTAGAATATCTACGTTGTAGATTTTTTTATGGAAACCTGTACCTTAAGTAAGCATTTATCTGTGCACTGGCGGTGCTCACTTTGGACTGCGAGTGAACGTGTAAAATAAGTAGTAGCAATCGAGAAATTTTGAAACCTGGCTAAAAACGGTTTCCTCATCAAACGCATGTTGCAATGTGGGTTTTTAAAGGTATTTGCTCAGTGCGTGCGTTGTGTGCGCAGTACTTCGGCGAGACGGCGCACAATCCGGAGACGAACCAGCGGCCGCGCCTGAGGTCCCCAGACGCCTTCGAACGCCGCGCCGCAATGCTCCAACAGCAGCAACAGCAGCAACAGGCGGCGGCGGCAGCGGCTGCGGCGGCGGCGCGGCTGGCCCAGCCCGGCAGTCGCTCCTCGCTGCCCGGCCCCGCCCCCGGCGCCGCCCCCGACCCCGGCGCGTGGGGCGACCCGCGCGCCATCGCCCCCGCCCACGCCCCGCAAGACCGCACCTGGCTGCGGCCACAGGCGCGGCGCAGCAGCGAAGGTACGTGGCACGCGGCGCGCCGCCAGCCCCACGTCCCACGAGGAGGAGCGAGATGCTGAACTGGCGGCAACAGAACCATACTGAACCGAGTGATCTCATTTAGAGTAACCGAGGGAAAGGCATTTGTGTTTGGTATAAGGGAACGGGAGAAGGGAAGTGAGAGATTGAGAAGTTCCTACCGAAGATGGGGGTTTTTGCGCTTGGATCACTGTGGCATAAAAATGTATAGTTTCTCCCATAGGTCCATGCGAAAAGCATAAAAAAGGGCAAAATATTACTTGGATCAATATGGTTCTACTGCCCCCAATTACATATTTTGCAAAATGTACTGCGAAGTATAAGTCAGACAAATGGATAATTTCTTATATAAATTTATCTTTATATTTAAAACGCTAAAGGTTTTCGTTTACAAAGCAATTTGATCTTTCTACAAAAATATATTTCGTGATTTTTTTTTCTTTTTTCTTTTCTTTCTTTAAATGAAAGGTAGTGGGCTCCAAACAGGTTATAGCTTGCTATTTTCATCGACTTTATTAGTATAAACTAAAAATGGTGATGAAATGGTGAAATTAATCAGTTTTGCTGCAGAATTTTCTCCTAAAATGGGTCTGAATAATCACGTCATGTGATGCGTTTACCGAATCATTTGCCCCATGTGTATTTTACTGAAGACAGTGCTACTCAGGCCGTAAAATTAAAAGACGTAAAATTTGCAAGTTTAATTTTAAAAACAATATCAAAAGTATTTTCGTTTATCCTGAAATACTGGCTAATTGTGTTATACGTATACTAGAAATATATACTAAGTCTACAAGAAAGTAAAAATGGGATAACATGAAGCATCCACGGAGGTCTAAGTGCGAAAAATTTACAGGGAAATGCTGTGTTTCGTAAAAAAATTCGTCCTCGACAGAAGAGGGCACCTGGACCAAAGGAAAGTGATTTAATGTGAAGCAATTTTACTCGGCGTATAGTAGTGAGAGAAAGTGCGCGTTTCGTTTAAATTACCATTAGTAATCTCTGAAATGCATAGCACGCAAAGAGAACAGTTATGGATTGCCCATAATCGTAGTCTCTCTTTCACGATATTATGATCAAAGATAAAAACTATTATGGTAAGGTCAGTTATTTTCAAACTCTTGCTAATAGCGATAAAGGTTCTTGACCCTCACTGGAGTACTGTAGACCGCTAATTGATAGCACAGAAAATAGAAAAACAAGGGAAAACTGATTCAAAAGACCGGTTTGCACCGTGGCATACAAATGTATATTAATTGTAATTAATATTAGAATTATCTTTGGAAGACTACAACAGTGATTTACGAAAAAAACAGTTTCAGATTACCAATTCCTTTATTTTCTCTTGTTCACAAACAGTATTTTACAAAGCGAAGGCTGTTGATGCTGTGTATCACATGAAAGTGGTCCAAGTAAAAACACAAGGAAAGCAATGTGGTCAAGGACTGGTTGGGAGTGGCGGAGAGCCGATACCTTCTGAGAACTTCAAAATATCTTGTTGCCTTCTACCGAGAACTATCTCCACCCAGTAATTAACCCAATGACTGACGATGTTTGGGAAGATTGGTGTCCCCTCTCACGAGGAGAAGTCAGACCTGGATTTGTCCGCTCGTCGTACCCTAATGGCGAGGATGGATGAAATGGCCAAATTTGTACTCCCGGACATAAATGCACAGCTCGCTCCCTCTTCTTAAATGTTTCAACTCCTCCAACCATAAATGTATATTCATCCACGTAGTTAGGTCAAAGAGTAGGCCTTAGGGCCTGTGTCACGTTATTAATAACATTGTTATAGTAAGAATAATAATAATCATCATTATTATTAATAACCATTATTATTATTAACCTACATATTCATGATTCACACTAAAGATGTTAGTTTCTGTTAAATATAAAATCTACTCCAGGTTGCAACCAGCTTTCTAAAGAGCTTTCAGATCTAGCGACTGTGTGATGCCTCTGTGATACTTGTTGGCGCAACATGTGTACTGTTCCGAGAACCGCGATGTCTTGTACTTCCCAGACTTTTGAATGACGTGTGCGTTTAGACAAGTACTTACATAGTTTTTGCGGAAGAAGTCTCAGAGCTATAATAACTATCAGGACGACCTGTGTTTTTTCGTCGCACCTACGGCTGATGTCGATTTCCAGGCTTTTGTAGCAACGACATGTTGTGCCTCCATGTTTATAACGTTCTGATCGCATGGTCCATCGTTATTAACAATTATCATTATATACATATAAAAAAGGGAATGTGCGTATGTGTGTTGCTCGTAGACGCAAAGACTGCTTGACCGATTTCGCTGAAATTTTAACTTTTATTTCTTATTAGTAACGAGAGTGTTTAAATAGTGCGTTGAATTAAATCGGACTTGTGGGGACGTTGTTGATTTATTCGTTTATAACGACTCAAGCGCCCGCGAATTGTATGCAACCCGCCGCCCAGTCAAGGATGTGTCTTCACGGCTTACAAGTGTGGCCCTGCGATTGTGAAATATCGGCCGGAATTATTACTTGAATCTTTGTCAAGTAAATCGGATTACTTCTATTAGTCATAGCGAACGCATGTCCAAATCCGAGGGAGAACGTTCTTACGAAGATACTTCACAAATGTGCTCAAACGAGGACAAAGAACAAACCCATACTTGCGAGGAAGTCTATTAGAATTTTTGCACAGCGAAGTGCAAAACGTAACTATTGATTAGCAATCACGTGACCAGTAGTGTGTGATGTGTAATACATCGAAACAGCGAAGCATTGTCGGGTCCACGAGTTTTTGTTAATATTATAATGTTGGTGCGTGTGTGTGTTGCAGGCGCGGGGCCCCCTCGAGGCCGCGACGGAGGCGTCTTCCTGTTCCCGGAGGCGATGGCGGCGGCGCCGCAGCAGCCCCCGTCGTCGGAGCGCGCGCTGTGGGCCGGCGCGTCGGCGTTCCGGCCGCTGGGCGCGCAGCCCGGCCCCGCCCCCGCCCCCGCGCCCGCGGCCGACGCCCCAGCGCAGTCGGCGCCACCGCTCGCCGCCAGCTCACGCAGCCTCCAGGTAGGTACACGGAGTACCCCAAGGTTGCAAAGATAGGATCCGAGAGCGTGTAAACGTTAGATTAAAATTCCTTGTATTTTCTTTATTCCTTCTCTTTCATAATTGCTTGTTTTCTCTCTCTCTTATTCTTTCTTCTGCTTCATTTCTCTCCCCCTTTCCTTCTCATTTTTTCTCCCCCGCCCTTTATCGCCATTCATTTTCTTCTTCGTTCCCTTTCTTTTTCCATTTTTTAATGTTTCTCCTAATGGCTTCTTCTTGTTCTTTACTTTTCCTAAAGTACTAGTATATTAGGAAGTAGATGTTAAAGACGATGTGATTAAATCTCATCAGCCCGCAATTTTGAGAAGCTCAGTGGATATCCTAGTCATATAATAGAATCCAAGGCATTGATACAGATAAGAGCGGATCCAGAGGGAATGCATGGGGTCATGCCTCCTCCCCCCAGGTCTAGAGTTTTCGTTTGTTACCGTATTTTATTTGGCAAAATTTATTTAAATATTTGTTAGAATTATGTAATTATTTAAATAAATAATATTGTGCAGTATCACCTATGCACCATAAAAATAATATACATTATTAATAACGAATGTTAAATATTTAACAAAAATCTATGATGGCCTCCTCCAAATTGAAGGGTTAGACGCTCCTGCGTACTGACATTGTGATAGCGTGCTTCACTGACATATTGTTGGTTTTAATTTTCGGCCATGAGAACTTAATGTAATGTAACCCAAATAATTTCTTCCATGCTTTTTTAAAATTTGTTGTGGACATAATTGGCTATTGCACTAGGTGGGGAAATTTCGGTGGAAAAATTAAAAGGGTTTTGTGCGTATTTTTCAACTGAACGTGCAAAAGTGCGTTGACACGCCGATTAACCGTCGTACTGCGATATAGGATCTCTGGGCCGCATTGCAATCACAGAGCGAGTGCGAAGCGATCGCCGGGCGGAGAAGGGGGTCGCACTGACAGTCTCGTTTTCCCTCGGCCGCGCTAATAAATGACGAGCGGCTCCTGGGGGCTCGCGGCGCGGCGGAGGTCTCGGGAGACCCAGGCCACGCAAGCCTCGCGCGTCGGACGGGTTGCGTCGGCGGCTCAAGGCGCTCCGGGTCGAGCTCGATGAATTTCACCGGCAAAGGGAGATGAGCTTGCTTATGCAATTTTAATTTTTTCATCTTGAAAATTCATCATAAAAATTCGTGATACTCTTAATTTAATATTTTATTTCGTCTTAATTTTGAGGATGATGAATTAAATTTGAATAATTAAATATTTAAAATGTCATCATACAAATTCGTTATGCTCATTAACGTATTTGGTAAGATTTCTGCTCTGTAATGAGAATGACGAATGTTTGTGATGCGATCCGTGAGGAAAAGAATTTCGACTCCGGTGACACCCAGTACTCAGGTAGAGAGTGTGAAATTCATGTCGCAATTGATTAAGCCCTCCCAAGTCCTGCCCCATCATCTTCTGTATTGACATAACTACATGGGTTATATCTGTGAATCGTGAACGTCCTTCATAATCATCTAGGCACTAAAAAAATTTACAATTTTGTGGTAATTTTTTGTCCTAATTGGAGGAAATTCCCAAGCGATTGCCTCAGGATTTTCTAAATTTTGTGTTTCCTACTAAGGGGAGAAATACGTTAAAAGACAATTTAGTAGTCGTTAATACACTATGCAACACATACACGTAGAAAAGCTCGAGACCGAAGCGAGCAGTTTACTGTTTTGTACCCACTTCATGTCAGAGACGCCAAAAATCCCTATTGCTTTAGGGGAGACGTACTACATAAATTTAAGGCATCTACTTATATTTTTATCTTCTGTATCGTTAGAAATTTGTTGTCCTCTTACGAAGATTTAACATTGTTTTGTCTATTGTTTTTAAATCATAAAAAAAATGTTCAATTTTTAGTAGTTTGTGACGAAAAGAAAAATATGTAATAAAAATAAGGAATGCGAGAAATTGCAGATTAATATGCTATCAAGAGTGTTACTTAAAGATAATAAAAGCACACGAGATTCACTAGCTGTACCTGATACCTTGTGAAATAATTATCTTCTCGGTTAGTTCTACTTCTCTTTTCGTGCCAAAGTAGATGGCGTCTGTGGTTCAGAATATATTTTACTTCATTTGCCTGACAGAAATGTCATTGTAGAGGGGAGGGAAGGCTTAATTCAATTTTCAACGCAAGAAAATAAAAGTCTGGCATTTGGGAGCATAATATTTATTTATTTATTTATTTATTTATTTATTTATAATTGATAAAGACTGCAGGTGTACATAGAATCGCAGGCCTGCAAATTCAAAAACAAACAACAAAAAACTCTAGTTTGTAATGTTTGCTACATAGTTCTTCGCAGAGTGATAAATCGAGGAAATAGGGACTGCAAATAAATCAGTCTCATCAGTTAAATTTAGGATATATACTTAATTTTTTTGGACAGATGCATGTGCATCCCTTAAGCGTGCGTTGTACGTGTGTGCCCGTAGGCCTTCTTCTACCCGGGCGCGGCGGCCGGGTGCAGGCGCAGCCTGGATGCGGCGGCGGCGGCGCGCCGCGAATCGACTGTGTCGCTGCCGGCGGCGGCCGCGGCGGCCCCCGGGGGCGCGGGCGTGGGCGGGCTGGCGATGGCACCCGCGGGCGACGCCCTCTCGGCACACGGCTCGCTACCCGCCTGCGCCTCGGCGGCGTCCGCCTCGTCCGACGCCGGCAGCAAGGACTCGCTGCTGTCGTTCGACTCGGCCGCCTCCACGCTCACCGGCCGCGACGGCTGCAGCAGCGAGGACTCGCTCATCATCTCGCGCATCCGCAAGAGCTTCGAGCAGAAGGTACCTCCCCCGCACCCGCCCTCTTTCTACAATAAGTCTGCTTCTTCTTCCTATTCCGGCTTCACTGGACGCGTTGCCTTGGTCGACCAGGATATCTTTTTCTAGCTGGTCGATAATGGCAGGCCACTACTGAGAGCCTATCATTTTCCATCTGTTAACTGTTCGAATAGGCAAGCAGGTGTTGACATTTTGACAAGTTAAATATCTTCTTAATTACCGAAAGGTGGTCAACTAATTGTTTGATATCTTGGGCAGTAGTTCAGCTTATTAGAATGTGCAATATTCTTGTAGATGACTTCAACACTTTAATTCAATTCAGTCACTGGTATAGAAAGATTACTGTAAGAAAGGGCCACTTGAATAGCTTCTGCTTGGCTACTGCTGGCAATAAATTTTTAGGTTATGTCCAAGTGTTCAATTCCTCAATGTTTTCGTTTTCAGTTGGCTCATTTGTAAACGGCTTTGACCTTATTTCTTACAATGCCATAGTCAGCCGGGACTTTCTTTTGTTTTGCGTCCTGTCAAACTGGTCCCTTGCGAGAGCAACTTCTCTCTAGCGTGGATTTTGCTATCTCGCAAATGAGTGTCTTGCATCTCGTGTTATTTTATATTAGGAAATATAATATTTTCTGTGGTCGTGTCTTTGGGAATAATCTCTTAATTATGTGTAACGTTTGAGTTCCGTGCGTGGCGGTGGGTTGTAAGGCGCGGGTGGTGTGCGCAGGAGGAGTTCCTGCGGCGGCCCAACCAGCCCATCGCGTGGAACCTGCCCGAGGGCGCGGCGGCGGCGGCTGCGGCGGCGGCGGCCGCGGCGGCGGGGCTGTCCAGCCCGAGCCCGCGCCCGGCCAGCTGCTTTAGCCCCACGCGCCGCACTGTACAAGAACCAAATTCCGCGCCGCTTTCTCACTAAAATTATATTACGTTTTTTATGCAGCCTTAGGGCGGTCCCCGTGTTAGCCACTCCCGGCGCGCGTGCGGCCCCGCAATTATGTAGAAATACTTGCACGTCTGTGAGAGTTAACGACACAAAGATTTCATTTTTTTACGATTTAAGTTTTAAATGATTGAGAGTTTACTGTCTTTTGCTAATTGAACTAGAAGTAAACTCGTGACTGCGATTGTCTTTTTCGTTTTCATTTCCCATGAATTCCCTCATAAGGAGAACTTGTAGCATTCATTTCAACGCTTTTCATACATTCACTCGTCACCGCGAACCCCCTCGCATCCAAGTAAAGTTATGCAGGGGTGAGTATATTTGAGTCCATTAACAAAGGCAATCAACGAATACCTTGTCAGTAAAGATAGTAAATACATTTAAACATAATACAACTATCCTAGTCGATCGTATGCGTTCGCTATGAAAGGCTGAACCAGGAAAAACAATTTCAAAGAAACACTGCTGTAAACATATATTTCATGGTATCTAAGATGAGGATGAACATGCAACAGCTTAAGAAAAAGCCGGAACGCGTTCATGTGCACGGCAGAGAAGGATGGATAGCAAGTCAGAGCGTATTTAACAAATAAGGGTCATGAAAGTCTCAGTAATAAATTTATATAACTTCATATTACAATAAACTACAATGATTCCAGATCTTAGAATAGTAATAATTGTTTCTTGTCTAGAGCGGATGTCGAATGAGCTATTGCGATAGCCCTGTTAAATGCCTTCCAAGTACCACGAAAAAGACATTCTAAGTGCCTCCCCCCTCCTCCAAAATTGTGGTTCAAAAGACTTCTGGCTGAGCAGTGAGTTTAGTTGGAAGGACCAGAGGTAAAAAATGACGGCCGCCACCGCGACGTGCTCCCAATGGAAAAACCAATCGTGGGTAATGCAGGCCCAGCGCAAGGCCAGAGGCGTACCTGGCGGCCCGCGTCGCGCGCGCGCCCGTCCTCCAGCGGCGAGGAGAGCGGCCGCTGTGCGTAGAGGGCAATCGCCGCCCGGGCGACGAGGCAGCGACGCCGTCGGCCGCCACGCCCCGCGGGCCCCGCGGTCCCGCCACGTCGTAGTGTCGTGCGTAAGCGGACGGGCGACCCGGCGGCGGGCTGGCCGCGCAGTTTTCTCGTGGCAACTGCGGTACAGTGTGGACACGAAGCACGCGCTTGCCCCACCGACCCCCAGCCGCCGCCGCCCGCGCGCCCCCGCCGCGCCGGGCCCCGCGCCGCGGGCGACGCCGGCACCGCGCTGACTGGCCGGAACTGCGGCGCTGTCCAGGCTGTGGCCCGATACACCGCCGCCGCCTTGCCTGCGCACGCGCACACACGGGGACGTCACACTTGCGCCGACACACAAGTATTCCTAGGCGAAAGCAAGGAACGATCGAGAACGTACGAGGGAAAAACCCGAACGACAAGGGAACCCCGTAGGGAGGCAGTCATCACCTTATATAGGTAATGGAAATTTACTTGATTAGCAGCACCCATCCTCAAATGTTAGGTTAGGGGGTCCAGATAAAGTATGTCAATTAATAAAAGAAATAATTTAACGCGGAACAAAGCAATCTATACGAAATTTTGTTCTTTTTAAACTGAACAGAATTAAAGAAAAAAGAGATGATAGAAACCTAAAAACGACACGTGTTTTAAACTCTTTTATAAAAAAAGCAAAAGAAGAGATGAAGAAAAAGAAGAAGGGGGAAAGCGTGGAGGAGAGCAAAAGGAGGAATGGGGAAAGAGAGAAGAAAATTGCAAAGAGGAAGACCAAGAAGGTGAGAAGAAAAGAATGAAAGGAGGCTCTGGAAAGCAAATACGAGGCCGAAGGCTGGGTGTTGCGGCCGGGTTAGCGTCCTATGCACAGCCGCCTTCCTCAGGCGGAAATGACCGGCGACGGCGAAGCGTCGGCCTTGTCCAAAGCGCACAGCGCGCGTCGCGGCCGGAGCTCGAGCCGATGGGGGGGGCGGACGTTGTGTGCTAGGGCTCGCAGATGAAATTGCCCGCGCCGGCCCAGGTCCTCGCAGGGCTCGGAAGGGGGCGCGCTCGAAACAGCGGCGGGGGAGCGCGCGCGTGCGCGGGCACCTGCGGCGCGGGCGCCAGCCGGGCTGCTCGTGCTGCTGCTGAGGGGGCGGATGGGCCGGGCCGCCAGAGCGGGGGGGGTTGGGTTTATTTTTACCCCTCTCTACCGAGTTTCAAACTGCCGACTTGACCCCGGCGGAGCTCCTGGTGGTTGCGGGCGGCCGGCGGCGGGCGGCGAGGCGGCGCGCGGCCGCGGCGGAGGAGGGGGGCGGCGGCCGGCGAACGCGCAGCGCTGGCGGCAGACGCCTGCGCAGCGGCCGTAGGGCGAAGCGCGCCCATGCCGGCGCGCCTGCCCCGCCGCCCAGCCGTCGCCCGCCGGGCCGCCGGGGGGCACATGGCCGCCGCTGCAGCTTCTGTCGCGCGCGGCCGTAAACTCGCGCGAAGAGTGACACCGGCCGAGCGGCCCTGCGCCGCACCCGCCCCCCCCG